TTTTTATGGATATTAATTTATAAATAAATAATAAATATAGATTTAATATATATCCTTAACATGCAATTTTAAAAAACCCAAATTATTGGCACTAGAATGATATTAAAAATAGGTTTAACTCTCTATTTAACCTTTTAATTTATAAAATTTAAGGTTATTAACCCCTTATATAAAAACTTAAGTATATTAACCTCTTAACAATATAATTAGCAGAAGTTCACCTTTTCTTAACAAATTATAACTCACATCATTAGTTAAATTTGATTTCCATCTTGGTCAGCAACACAATCAGTTATCCCTCTCCTACATGGCATGCCACAATTGCAATTAACAAAACAAAAAATTCTCCTTTTTTTTTTGAAAAGCAAAAAAACTTCTCCTTTAGTATAATATAGACCCTGCTCTATCATACTAAATAAAATAAAAAATTTAAACAAAAATCTAATGTCCCACCCAATAAACCACGGGGTCTCAACTCTGTCATTTTAAATAAAAAAAGGGTATTGCCATGGTTATGGATTGGACAATGAGGCAAATTACAATAAAAGCCTGCCCTAGATCTTAGGACAATGGTGCAAGCCAAGACTTTTTTCTGGATTAAGAGTAAGATGAAAGGGTGTGTTTTTTCTTTTTCTGAGTGGCAAAATAACCCATTGCAGGTTGCTATAGAAGTCAAAAGGCATAATAGGCTATTGAAGATGTTCTATAAGCAGACTCACGGGGTGATGTGAATGGACACTTGGCTGCTGATTTTGTTTGATTTGCTTGTATGAGTTATTAGTTTCATGTATATGGGTTGGAGCACCCCTTGTGCTCCTTAAAATAATAATAAATTTATTTGCTGATAAAAAAAAAAAGATCTTAGGTTTAAAAAAGGTATAATTTTAACGAGTAGTATATATATAAGTTTTATGGCCAATAATTATTAACAACTTAAATTTGATTTTTTGATTTTTTGAGGTTAAAGATCACTTGGACCTTCAACGAGAACTATTGGTAGATTAGTGTGACCTTCAACTTAATTGATCGCTTAAAATAAAATAAAATCAACATAATTAAGCTAGAGCTTGTTTAATTAAACAAATGTATATAAACGTATATTGATTAAACTTGTTAAGCTGGAGTCCATGCACTATATAATTAAGATACTCGTTGATAACATAGGTGGAAATATCTAGTGCGTATCTGGACAGTCAAGAAACACCTCCTCTTTTTGAATTCTCTCTTTTCCCTTTTTTTTCCAACATATTCAAATCCTTTTTTAGTTATACACGAAAATGATCTGTACACACTCGATTCAACACATTTTTTATGCACTTTTACTTCAATTATTAAAAGTATAATATAAATATAATCGATTCAACCGGTTTTTGTATTTTGTGTGCATGATTATATCTTTAAACTTATCTACTTTTAATTTCATATTAAAAAATAATAATTTTTTAATGATTGTATTATATAGTGTGTTTAAGTGAAATGTGTATCAATTATTATTCTCAGATAATATATACTATTACAATACTAATAATTAATATAGCCATCAACAATCTCAAAGATGAGTTGGTTTTGAACATCAAAAAAGAAAGACGAGTTGGTATGCAACATCATAGGTCGCACGTATTTTCTTTTAATGCGGCCAATATATAATCATTCGATCCCATGCAAAAGCTGTTAAACAAAAGATCAGAAATAGCGAAGAGTGAAATAAAAGTTCTGAGACATGATATTACTTTTTTAAGAATTCAAAATCTTTTAAAATACAACAAAACTCAAAACTCTTTTAAATTAGATGTAGAACATTAATTTTATATGAAAATAATAAAAAACAATATTCTGATAGTCAAACTCCAAGTGCTCAAGTGCCCATATTTTGATTATATATAATAAGTGAGGTCCAATTTATCTTGAATTTCATTTTATTTAATTATTTGTTGATAAAAAAAAAGATCTTCTTAAACTTTTTTAAATTCTCATACTTTCTTAACATGGAATGTTAATTTTTATAAACTATTCAACAAAAGCTATATGCTTGTTGTGTGCCTATATATATGGCATGCCCAGTTGCCATAACTTCATATCTAGTTCTGCCACTTCCCTTCGATAAGGAAAGAGAGACATTAGCAAAGAAAGATAGTGGAGAGCAATTGTGAAGAAGTAAAGAAATGGCCCTAATTTCCACTCATAGCCCTTGGCTTTTTGTTTTTGGTCTTCTAGGTACTAATTAATTAATACTCTTTTGAATATCAATCCTTTCTTTATTAAAATCTTCATCTAAGTGTTGATTGTTTTTTCTTGATGTGTATTAGGCAACATTTCCTCATTCGTGGTTTTCCTAGCTCCAATGTAAGTAATGCTATTGTTTGGAGCAATTTACTGGTCTTATGATTTTGAAAATTAAGTGTTATATATATAACCATGGCTATAAATGTTTCCTATTTTAGACCATTGTTTTGAAAACCAGATCGGATCAGTCGGTTAAATTGGTCAGACTGATACTTGATAGTAAAAACAAGCCGAGTTGATAGTTAAAACCGTTTAGGGGATTAAACCACTTAAAACCATTCAACTTGTCTAAACTGATAAGAATTGATGAACCATCCAATCGGCCAAGCCGACTATTGGAACAAATTTTGAGAGATTTGTTGCTGCCATTGGGTGTGAAACACAAGACCTCCTTAGGTTTTGAGTACTTTTTTGCCACCAGAGCACTGGAACCTTTTGTGAAATGGGTGACAAAGACTATATTTTAAAGAACATTAGAAAGACTAAAGGAAAATCCTAAAGTTACTTCTGTGAGATTTGAACATTTAACCCCTTAACCATCTAGAGCAACTGTTCCACTTGATTTAAACCTAGTTTATTGACTCGTAATGCTTTGAGATTTATTTATTATAATAGAATTTCATACATGAATAAATTTGACACACTTGGAATTCGAACTCAAGTTTTGTGTGAAATTAATAGAGACTCCCAACCACCGAAGCTCCTTCTAGCATTTTTAAATGTGTTGCATTATATTATATTTAATATATATCATCCAAATTCAATCAACCCGATTTTTTTACCAGTCAAACTGGTTCAACCGCCAAAATCATGAACCAGAGGTCAAATTGGTTTGACCTCCTGTTCGGTTTTGAAAACAATGATTTAGATCGACCTTCTATCGGATTTGGAAGAAGAAATCAACCGAAGGGTTTCACTCTGTTCCATATTTGACTGGCCTCTTTAGTGCAATGCTTTGGATCTACTACGCCTTACTCAAAGCTAATGCTTTCCTTCTCATCACCATCAATGCTTTTCATTGCGTCATTGAGACCATTTACATTGCTCTCTACATCACTTATGCCCCAAGGAAAGTGAGGGTAAGAAATAAATTTACATATGTATAAAAAGGAAAAAAAAAACAAATATTCCTGTTCTTTTTGCAAGAAAATGAATCTTATATATTGTCTAATTATCTTAGATTGATGTTTACAAATGCAGATTTTTCCCTTGACATTACTTGTTTTGTTAAATTTAATGGGATTCGGCTTAGTTCTTCTTCTCTCCTATTTCTTAACAAAAGCATTGACACGTGTTCATGTTTTGGGATGGATTTGTATGGCATTTTCTTTCATTGTCTTTGTGGCACTTTTAAATATTATGGTGAGGAAATATTTTAATTAGTATAAATAATCCTAGTTTTAGCCTTCCCACTTAACAAACATAAGCTTTTTACCTAAAAATTGTACATGTGGACTAACCATTTACTAATTAACGTATAGAGGCTGGTAATTCGGACCAAAAGTGTGCAGTACATGCCTTTTAATTTGTCACTTTACCTCCCCGTAAGCGTTGTTGTGTCGCTCTTTTACGGCATATTCCGTAAGGACTTGCATGTTACGGTAAGCATTTAATGGTTAAGAGTTTTTGATAACTCCTAACTAAATATTTTAAATTGAAATTTCAAAATATAAAAGGAGGCATAATTTAAAAAAATAATTTAGAAATAATATTTTTATATAATTAGTTTTCTTATTTAATATTTATAATATTAAATGTATTTATTTAATTAATAATATATGAAAATTATATTAAAAAATTATATTAAAAATTATCTCTATATCATTATTCTTTATTTTATATGTAAAAAAAAAAAAAAAGAAAAAAAAAAAAAAAAGGATCATATTAGCTCAGGTGACATCGCCTCTACGAAAGAGCTAGACAAGGCAACTTTTAATTTCCCCCCTCAAGAGTGAGCTTCATTAATTAATTACTTGATCAAAATAATAATTAATTAATTAGAGGAAGAATTTGTTTTGACTGCAGATTCCTAACATTCTTGGAGTCATCTTTGGGTTGCTTGTATGCAATGTACAGGAATAAGTCCAAGATGGTGGTGGCAGCGGAATCTCAGTCACCCATTACAGCATCAATATCGCCAAACTTAAAACACAACTCCCCAACTGCGACAAAAACATTGAGAATGAGGAACAGAAAGAAAATGATCACCAAAATATTGATCAAACTGGGAATATCATGGAGGTTTTCAACTCGAATCCGAAAATGGCTTCTGAAGTTTGAACACAAGAAAAAGAGGTTAATTTTCCAGGACGAAATGAACACCTCTTTGCAAGTGTAGGGGGTTATATATGTGTTGCTTTGTCCCTATTGTAATGTCTTTTCTATTTCATTAATTTCTGGTTTTTGAGGTGATGATTGTGTTTCGTATATATGCAATAAGCCCAAACCGACGTTGGCTAAGAAAAAATGTAGTTTAATTACATGCCTAAGGTACCTTTAATGTATTATATAATTTTTTTATGGTCAAAATATTTCTAAATTATTTTAACAGTACATAAAGACCAATTTCTTTTCAGATAATTTTAAAAGTTATTTCTACATCAATTTAATTATTGTATTTAAAAAATTAATTTTTTAAATGCTTATCCTAAAATTTAAATTCTAAATCTAACTCTTAAAATCAAAGTGAGTTTACCTTTAGGATTGTATTATATGATTTGTTGATTTGTGTGTATGAATTTAACTGACTTTAATTGGCCTAATAATGGTTCACTCCCAAGAACCGAAGGAGCTTGGGGTTCAACTCCTGCCATGCACTTAAAAAATTCTCATCCCTCAATTGTCCTGTTTCGGTTCAAGCCCATCTCATCGTACAATGCCCAATGGGCTTAAAGTGTGAACAGAACATGCACCTTATGTTAGAAGGAATAATGTTGATGCTAGTTAATCCCCAATGTTTGGCACTTAATACAAGTCAGTCTTCAAGTGTCCTTAAGTGCTATTGTTGTCATATATATAAATAGAGATTCTATACAAACTTTTTTAATGAATAGAAGACTCGAGATTTCCCTTTGCACTTTCTTCTTTTTTATTTCTTCTCCACTGTTATTATGGTATCAGAGCCAAGCAAATCTCCAATTTACGATGACCCAACAATTCCATCTTCGAATCATCATTCTATTATCTACAATTTCTGATCTTATATCTTACAACGTTTTGTCTCATTAGCAAATAAAATCCCCAATCTTTCAAAGCCCTAACTGACATAATCTTGCCTCAATCATCTCAGACTACAGCTTTTTCATCTTTATCAAATCTCGTCACACAAAAGCTTACATCTGATAATTTCTTACTATGGAAGGGTCAAATTGTTCCAATTTCAAGAGGATATGGAGTCATGGGTTATCTAGACGGGTCGAAGCCAACGCCTTCAGAGTTTGTTGAGTTAGAGGATGACAAAGGCAAGACTAATATGGAACCCAATCTTGAATACGAGAAATGGTATGCTCAGGATCAACAAGTTATTGCTTGGATCAATTCTACTCTTTCTCCTGAAATTCTTGCTTAGGTAATTGATATACCTTCTACTCAGCTACTTTGGAGTACTTTATGCAAGTCTTATGCTCAACAATCTGAAGTCAGATTGATGTATCTCCAAAATGAATTACAAAATACCAAGCGAGATGGAAAATCTATTGAAGATTATTGGAATAGGATGAAGAAAATCTTTGATCAACTGGCTATAATTCAACACCCTGTGAATGATTTACAGAAGGTTCATCATGTTCTTACTGGTCTTGTTAAAGAGTACAAAATGTTTGTCACAGTTGTGTTGGCTAAACCACCTTTGCCCTCTTATGATGACTTAAAGACATTATTCCCTCAACATGAGCTTGCATTTAACATTACTTCAAATGCATCCAGCGGAGTTACAGACACTCCATTGCAAAGCAGTGCAAGTCATAATGTACATTACATAGATGCTCAGTATGATCACAGAAATAAAGGAAGAGGAATGCGTCAAGGAAGAGGAAGAGGAAATTTCAATGCCTATAATTCTTCACATTATAGCCCTTCATGTGGATATGGAGGGAGAAGACAATTCTTTAATCAAAATTATCACCAATATTCAGGATCTAGACGTAATTCTGGTGATTGTGGAATTCTTCTTACTCCAGCTAATGCACAAGCTTGCCAGATCTGTGGTAAATTCAATAATCTTGCTTCGGAATGTTATTACAGACACAAAAATCAAAATGAACCAATAGCTTTGACACATTCCATAGCCTCTTCTTCAACAATCTCTGAGGACAACTAGGCTATAGACTCGGGAGTTGTTGGTCATGTGACCGAAGATCTTGGTAAGCTTACTGATATTGTTCCATATAAAGGGCATTCTTGTATTGGTATGAGAGATGGATCTGCACTGCCAATCACTCACATTGGCAAAGCTTTGATTTCATCTTCAATGGGATCTATAATTGTTCCTGATGTTTTTCTTGTCCCAAATTTCAAAAAGAACATCTTATCAGCATCTCAATTTATTGATCAATTTCAATGTGCCTTCATTTTTACTCTTGACATTGTTTTGGTGAAAGATCTACAATCGAGGAAAATCCTCACTAGAGGCAGACGTAAAGATGGTCTGTATGTGTTACAGAGTGAAGAAGTTCAAACTCTTTTTGTTGCAGCTCTGTCTACAAGGAAGCTTAATATATCAGCAGAATTATGGCATCATAGGCTAGCACATACTAATTATGCCAATGTTGAAATTTCGAGAAAGAAGAATGTACTGCCTTTTTGTAATAAAATCCTAACTAGTATTATTTGTAAGGGATGTCAACTTTGGCAAACATCATAAATTGCCATTTTGTGCTTTTGAAAAAAAACAGTTCTACTTTCCTTAAATTAATACATACAAACTTGTGGGGTTCTCCTGACTTGGTTTCTTCTTTTGGCTCCTATTATTATGTTAGCTTTATTGATGACTTTACTCTCTATACTTGGATTTATTTTCTAAAAACTAAAGCTGATGTGTTGATTGTTTTTCAATCTTTTCATGCTTTCATGACAAAGCATTATCAGTTGCCAATTAAATTCCTTCAGAGTGATAATGGAATTGAATTCTACTCTTAAGCATTCAAATTTTCTGCTCTTCCATGGGAATAAAGCACTAGTTTTCTTGTCCTTACACTCCATCTCAAAATGGAGTTTTTGAAAGGAAGCATAGACAGATTACTGAATTAGGACTTTCATTAATGTTCCATAGTGGAGTTCCAAATCGTTTGTCATTAATAGGCTAACAAATTCTGCAAACCCAAAGGACATGTCTCCATATTAGATGGTAACAGGAAGGCTACCTGATTATTCATTTTTTAGGGCATTTGGATGTAAGTGTTATGTTCATCTTGACAAGGTTCTTAGAAAGAAATTATCTCCAAAATAAAAAACTTGTGTGTTTATTGGTTACAGTGATGAACACAAAGGATACAGGTGTTATTCTCCGAAAACAAAGAAGGTCTATGTTTCACGACATGTTACATTTGATGAAAATCATTTTTTCTATGATAGTTCTACTCTTTTCTCCGCAGGTGAAGGTGCTAACTTAGCTTAAATTTAGCATCTCCTAGATACAATTCATCTATGTCCTTTGAAAGTCCATCAAAGGGGGCAAGTGATGGTATGGCTCCAAAAGCTTTAAATCAGTTCATCAATAGAGAAATTGAACAACCCAACTCAAGCAATGAAGCTCTTATAAATCCACCATCTCCTTGCCCTATACTTGACCCAACAAATTTTGAAAAAACAAGTGAAAGTCTTATAGATGACACTCAAAATACAAGCAACCATAATACAGCCATACAATATGAGAATTTGCCTCGAAGGTCTTCTCATGAAACTAAACCACGACGTTATTTTCCTATTGAAGATTGGGCACTTTTTGCAAACATTGAAAAGGAAAATAATTGCTCCAAGTTTTCAACGACTTGTCAAGATTTAGAATAAACTTCATTTCATGAAGCAATGCAACACCCATGGTGGATTGATGCTATGAATGAAGAATTTCAAGCACTACTTCAACATAGCACATGGGAGTTGGTTCCTAGACTTGAGAAGAAAAATGCAATTGGGTGCAAATGGGTTTATAAAATTAAACACAAGTCTGATGGTACAATTGAAAGATTCAAGGTTCATTTGGTAGTTAAAGGCTACAATCAACAATATGGATTGGACTATGAAGAAGCTTTCAGTTCAGTTGTAAAAATAGGGATTGTGAGACCAGCTCTGGCCATGGCAAATTACTATGAATGGCCACTTCATCAATTGGACATAAAAAATGCCTTCTTACACGGAGAACTACAAGAAGAAGTGTATATGGAACAACCCCCAGGGTACAATGTTGCTAATACTAATAAATGGGTTTGTCAATTAAGAAAGGCAATTTATGGATTGAAACAAGCTCTTCGCGCTTGGTTTGAAAGTCTCTACAAAACACTTCTCTTAAGTGGATATTTTAGGAGTAAATCAGATAACTCCTTGTTCTTCAAGAGAGAAGGTATAAAATTAGTCATGGTATTTGTTTATGTTGATGACATTATTATTGCTAGAAATGCCAAGGAGTCAATTGACAATTTTTTTTTTTTTTTTTTTGTACAGCAAAGGAATATGTGTATATATAGATAAGGGAGTACAAGGGGTACTCCAACCCGTTACAAAACAATAACTATTCCATCACCAATGGCCCAAGAAACTGGATCAAGACAAACATAGGATATATTCAAAGAGGTCACTCACGTCTATCCAACACCCATTTCAGCTCAAAGACATCTATTTCCTTCTTTTATCCTTCAAGCATTCCACAGGTTCTAGGATCCAATGGCAAATATTAAAAGAGTACCCAGATGATCTGCTTTTAATCCATTGGAATATCCTCAATTGCACAAGTTCAAAAATTCTATTTGTATCCTGGTCGTTATTCTTGAAGGATTTATCATTCCTCGCAATCCATAAGGACCAGATAATTGCAAACCATACTACATCCCATCCTATCTTGATTTTTGCATCATTAAAAGGAGCCCAGTGTTGTTCAAATGATGCCAAACAATTACCCGCTTCTACCCATGTAATCCTCCACCATTGAAAACATTTAGACCACACTAAATATGCAGTTTTACAATGCAGGAACAAATGATTTATGTCTTCCATGCCCTCATTGCATAAACTACATGTAGCGAGACTAGGATCAGAGATAATACCTCTCTTGAGCAAATTCAACTTTGAGGGGATTCTATTTTATAAGACTTTCCACACAAAAGCGCAGATTTTTGAGGGAACCTGCTTACACCACACTCTCTCGTGAATGTCGTTACTTCTCTCGTTTAGATTACTTGAGAGGACCTGGTATCCAGATTTCGCTGAGTATCTGCTATTGTCCTTATTGTGCCTCCACTCCCAGCGATCTTGACTTCCACAAGTTGGTTGGTTTGCCTCTAATAGACCCCACATCTCCGATAATGATTCTTCCTCCCAAGAAAAGATGGTTCTTCTCCACTGAAGTGACCAGGTCCATCTCCCGTTGTTCCAGTGACCCATTTGGGAAATGCTCTTGGTTTTGCCTGTAGAGTTAAGAAATAATCTTGGAAATTTATCACCCAACGGCCTATCCCCTATCAACACATCCTTCCAGAAGCTAATTGATTTACCCTCCCCTAATTTCAGTCTATATCCACTCGACAGCCATCCAATCTTTCTTTGATACAAATGATCTAAATGACAGACGTCCCTCCACCATAAGGACCCCCTGTTGCACCTTCTTTCAATCCAATTCAGCCAATTTCCTCCTTCATATCCATATTTTTCTCTAATGACCTTGTATAAAAAACCTTCCTCGCCCCCTGCCAACCTACTCCACCACTTTCCTAGCAGTGCTAAATTAAATATTCTAAGGTCCTTTACACCTAAACCACCCTCCATTTTGTTCCTACACACATTCTCCCAACAAACCCAATTAATCTTCTTGCTACCTTCCTTAGCCCCCCAAAGAAAACTTCTGCGAATTTTATCAAGTACGAGAATCAAACCTTTAGGTAACAGGTGGACAGACATGATGAACACTGGGAGGCTAGACAGCACGGAATTAAGGAGTGTGATCCTTCCGCTAAGAGATATGAACCTGGTTTTCCAGCTAGCAAGTTTCTAATTAAAAGCATCAATGATGGGTTTCCACATCGCAATACTTCTGTATCTACCCCCAATCGGCATCCCCAAATATTTACAAGGCAAAACTCCTTGCTTACAGTTCATAATAATAGACATCTTCTTCATCCAGTCATTTGAGACATTTATGCCCATGAGTAAGCTTTTTCCGAAATTAATCTTCAGCCTCGACACAATCTCGAAAATCCTCATAATACATTTTGCAGCCCAAATGTTTTCTTCTGAGGCTTTCCCAAATACGATTGTATCATCCGCGAACTGTAGATGGGTTACTTTCAATCCACTTTGCCCAACTGTAATTCCCTCAAACAGTCCATGTGAAATTGCAGATTTGATTATGCCATTAAGACCCTCCGCAACAATTAAGAATAGGAAGGGTGATAACGGGTCTCCTTGTCTGAGCCCTCTTTGCATCCTAAACTGTCTGGTGGCGCTCCCGTTGAGTAACACCGATACCTCCGCTGTCTTCAAACATTCAGACATCGACCCTCTCCATTTTTGGCCAAATCCCAATCTCAGCATCATGTAGTCCAAGAAGGCCCAGCATACTTTATCATACGCCTTTTCGAAGTCAAGCTTAATTACAAATCTTGCTTGTTTCCTTTTTTGCGCCTCATCAATAGTCTCGTTTGCGATGACCACACTATCTGCAAGTTGCCTTCCTCCGATGAAGGCCATCTGATTTTCCCCAATCACTCCATTTAAAATCGAAGACAGCCTATGTGCTAGGAGTTTGGCAATTATTTTGTACATGACACCAACTAGTGAGATGGGCCTAAATTCTTCTATTTTCTGTGGGTTGTCGACTTTGGGTATTAATACAATGAAGCTGCTATTAACCCCTCTGACCAGTTTTCCATGCTTTTGAAAATCGTCAACAAACCCCATTATATCTCCTTTGATTACCTCCCACATTTCCTTGATGAATTTAAAGTTAAACCCATCAGGCCCTGGCGCCTTTGAGCTGTCACAACTCCACACTGCTTGTTTAACCTCTTCCTCCTTGAATGGTGCTTCTAGCATTGACCCCTCCTCTGTTGAAATCTTCTTAAATTCAATTCCATCAAGCACTGGGCGATTCCACTCTTCCTCTTGGAACAAGCTTTCGAAGTGCTTTGCCACACCTTCTTTAATTTCCTTTACTTCCTCCAGCCGCTCCCTGCCAACCATAATACTCACTATGTCATTTCTCCTTCGTCGCCCTTTTCACACATCTGTGGAAAAATTTTGTGTTGGCATCCCCTTCGCACAGCCAGGTCTTTCTAGCTTTCTGTCGCCATATGCTTTCCTTGATCCTCTGGTTGTTCCATAATTCCAGAAAGTTTATCCTTCTCAGCTCAATGTCTTCTGTAGACAGTGGCATCACTTCGCCTCTTTTGTCAATGGAAGCAATAAAGTCGATGCTCCTTTGTATGCTCTTGTCAATCTCTAACACCATGTTCCTACTCCAAGCTTTCAACACCTTCTTTGTTTCTTTCAATTTCTCCTTAAGCCGGAACCCATTCCACCCACAAACCATCTTTGACCTCCATACTTCACTCACCATCTTTTTAAACTCAAGGACTTCTAGCCATGCATCGAAGAACCGAAAGGGTTTTGGCCCCCAATCAATGATCTGGTTTTTTAGCACAATAGGGCAGTGAT